TGCCCATTTTACATGGTTTGGGGGTGTCCTCTCACCCCCTTCCTTCTACAAAAATAAAAACAAAACAAAATAAAGGAAAGGGGTGCTGGAAAGGAAGAAAAGGAAAAGAAGGTAAGGGGAGGCCTCCCTGTCCATCATTTTAATTATACAATTAGTTCACATGCTCTGGCCCAGAATGTATATTTTAAGCGGAGGGAGCCCAGTGTTTTTCAAGAACATTCTGGTAATGTCGGAGGCCTGGATTTGTTGCCTGCTCGTCCCCCCGTGCAGCAGAGGCCTGTTTTCCTCCCCCTGTTGTGTGTTTTTATTATTTTCCCTCTGGCTTAGATGTGTCAATCATTCTCTGCCTGCCATTGGTTGGAGAGTTTGCGTCAAAAAGTTGCCAGAGAGGCGCTTTCTCAGCAAATCTCCCCGAGAGCGGAAGCGACCTCAGCTCCAACTCAGCCTTCCACTGTTACGAAAAATAAAAATCGCTAGCGCAGCCCTCACTCTCCACGTCTACTTTGTATGTATCCTAGAAGAGCACACGCGGCTTTCCAACTCAGCCCACTTCATTTTCTGTTGCCTTAAAAACAACAACAACAACAACAATTCGGGTTGTGTTTTACTTTTTTTTCCCCCGAAGGGTGAAGACTTCAAGGTTTCTAACTCAATGCTCTTGGTTTCTTTTAGGATAAGCTGGCTATTTGGAATTTTGAAGGATAATTTGGGTTTTCCCCCCTCTTCTAACCTCCAATGCGGCCATAAGGTAAGAAAGAGTCCGTCTGTCTTGGTTGTCTATAGTTATAGCTGTGTGTCCTTCTGTCCATCATTACCTCCACCCCCCAGCACTTCCAATAGATCTATCCATGCACTTCTGCAAACGTGAAATTCTTCCAAAGGTTGATGGTTTTTCCTCTCTCTTTCAAATTTTGACTTGTAATAACGACCATTGTGGGGGGGAATTGGCGATGGGAAGAGGGCGGGAGCGGGAGGAAAGGAGGGCGCGTGCTCCAAGGGGGTCGGTCGCCGCCACCGCAAATCGCCGTCGCCAGTCTCATCTGGGGTGTTGAGGAGCGGGGGTTGTTTGTGCTTTTGTTTTTAATGTCCAGGCCATTCGGGGCTTGTCTCTTGGATGTTTTCATTTGGGCCCCCAGGTTTGGGTAGGGTCCTTTGGATTGCTCCCAAGGACGTATTTAGAGTTTGAGATCTAGAGGTGCCAATGTAGCTAGATGGATGGATGGATGATGCATGGGGGAGGGGGGGAAGGGAATAACAAGGTAGGAGCTTCTTGGGGCCGCTGCGCTGGAAGCCTGGCTAGTTTGCTGGGCAGCGGCGGCCGCCCGCCGCAGCTTGAGTCCCCCTAAAGGAACGTGAGCCGAACCCTGGGCGGATAACCGAGGAGACGGTCCACCCCCGCGCACGGCGCTCGCTCCCGGCCGTCCCGCGTCGCCCAGTGAAGAGCAGCTCAGATCTCAGATCGAATGCATTACAATATCTTCCCATCCCTGAGGGTGCAACCCCCTCCCCTCCACCCACTTAAGGCTGTGGTGATTGGAGCCCTAGGTCGCCAGGCCCGGGCAGAAGGAACGAGGATGGGTATTGTTTTTTGCAGCCTGACTTTGCAGGGATGGCGCGGGACGGGCCCCGCCGAGCGCTCCGCGCGCACCTGGGGCGCTCCAAGGTGGCCGCGAGTCGCCCTGTGCCCAGCTGGAAGCCAGGCGAGGGCTGGGGACCGAATTCCCTGCGCTGGGGACTTGAGCAGCCGGGAGCCTGCCGCGCTCTCTCCGGCCTTCCCTTCCCAGGCTCGGGGACCGGGAGGTGTCCCGGGTCAGGATCCTGCTGGGATCGAGGGGCTCTCAGGGACGTAGATTTTGCTCTCCCACTGCCCAGTGAGAACCATCCGAAGATCTCCCGCCAGCTCCGGCCCTGAGCGACGGGTCGTGTTGCCAACTCTGAAGAAGTCTTCGTGTCGATGCGTCCGACTTCAGGACAGATTTTATTATTTTTTTCTTTTGAAATCCAAGTCCTTCTCAAAAATCCTTCCTTGATCGGGAGGGAAGAGGCCCAGAGGTGCTGTGCGCGCGCTTTGTGGATGAATTTAGGCAGGGGACGGGAGAGAAGGCTCTCCTGGAAATTCCGTCCCCTCCCTCCCCCCATCGTAGAGCTTTTAGGGAGTTCCGGATTTCCCTCGCTTATCTATGGACTTTTTCTGATCAAAGAAAGTTATAAGCACTAGAGGAAACTCCCCTCCCCCAAGTAAGGTTGTACCCAAGGTCTCTCCTTCCAGAGCTAGTAGCACCCACCCGGCTTTCTCTGGCGGTAATTAATAGCCAAGGCCAACCCTTTTGGCACGTTTCTTCCTGCCTCCCTCCCTCGCGGGTGGCAGAGTTGTCGATTCCCTGAGGCCAGAAACTTTCACTCGAGTTCGCCGGGGCCAGGCCGGCGCCGGCTGTTTTCCACGATGCCCACAGATCTTTCTTTCTCTTTCTGTCTCTCTCTCTCTCCTCTCCCCCCCTCCCTTCGTCCTCCTCTTCGTCATCTTCTCAGCCGCAGGCCAATCGCCAGTCCGTGTAGTTTTGTTTCCTTTCCATCATGCAGAAAATTAATCAGCTAGGACGAGAAGCAGAGCAGAGCGCGGCGGCCTGTAATTAAGGGACGTGTGCCCCTCGGATTATCTCGTTAGTTTATCAAGAAAACATTTATTATAATTAATTCTCGGACGAGGTAATTATTATTGAGCGAGGACACAGCAACTGGTAGATGGGCTTCTTGGAAGAAAAAAAAAACGGGGGGAGGGGGAGTGGGGGAAGCGACAGATTGCACGAATAGACCGTTAGATATAAGGCTGCGCAGGCCGACGCGGGCAGTGGAGAGGGACCTGACCACCCGGACTGCGGGGCCGGGACACAAGAAAGAGCCACTTGCACCCGCAACTGGCTGCGGGGACTCGCCGGGCCAGCACCGTTTGCCTCTAGGTATGGATTGTCCTCTTTGCCTCGTGAGAGGTCAGGTTGAGCCTTATGTATTAAAAAGATGATTTCTTTTTCCCCCCACCCCCACCTTTGGACTGTGCTTGGAGTGGAAGGAAGAGAAATGAACTTCCAGGGCTTTGAAAGTTAGACGGCAGGGCCCAAGGCCTCTTCTTTGGGTAGTGCATATACCTAGGCTAGCTGTTCAAAGTATTCCCTAGCTCCCCCTCCTCCTTATTCTTTTATTTCTTTTAAAGATGTATGCAGGAGGAAAAGGCCATTTTACCCCCAAAGAGGGTATCAGGCCCGGTGCTTTTTGTCATTGCTTTTTAGTTGGAATGTGTTACTTTATTGTGTGATGTCAGGCATGGGGCATGGAAGACCATTTCCATTTTTCTCAACATCTGATACCATTTTAGGTTCCTGTCTAAGCAGCTTAGAACTTTACAAGGTAGTAAGATTTGTGTTGAACAGAACTTTTCTGTTTAGAGGCTATTTTAACAAACCAATGACTATTTTAAAGTAATTATGACTTTCACAGCCTCCAAGTCACTGCAGGTTGGGAAGAAAAGAGATTACAAAATGTGAAGTCTTTGTTGTAGGACTGGCTAAATTTGTTTTACTGGTGAAGAAGACAAACTCCTCCCAGAAGGAGATTTATTTTAAAAATACATATGCATATATATGTATATTTGGGGGTGGGGGAAGTAGGATTGTTGTCTGAATTTAAATCAGGAAGTCGCAGCTACCAACTTTCATGGTGTGGTGCCTTGATATCTTACACAATGTAAACATGAGCACAGAGCTCTTAAAACTCATGCAGACCCTGTAAAAAGTAACAGGGATCCCCCAATATGGAATCCGCCATTTTGAGGCAATCTTCCATGGTGTGAAAGTTTCAAAGTAGAGAGTTTTGCAAGGTACCTACCATTTTTTTTTTTTTAAATAAAAGGCAGATTTGGAAACTGCCAGCCTATATTAACATCTACTTTTGAGTCCCTGTCCTCAGGGAGGAGGGAGGACTCTACAAAAGAAAGTAAATAAGTTTCTTTTTCTTTTTCCACTCCTAAGAGCTTTTCCTTAGACAACTGTAGGAACGCTAAAGGTGGGGAGAAATTCTATTAGTTTCACAACTTTGGGTGTTTATCTACTTTCTTCAGAACTAACATGTGCAAAAGGCAGTTACAGTTAACAGGAAATTGCAGCTGCAGAGACACAAATGTCCGAAAAGTTTGCCTCCTGCAGGACCTACTGCCCCCCCCCCCCCACATCACAATCAACATGGAAGCAGCTCACACTACAAATGAGCACCCTTTCTACTTGCAAATGTGGGAGCCTGTCATTATCCATCTGGTGGGAGTCTAACTTTACTTCAAAATTTCTGGCATGCCCAGTACCAACCATGGCAACTTTTTTTTTTAACAGTATATTTAAATACTTCCTAGGTGTTTCTTTAAAAAGTTAAATATTTGTCTGTTTAGCTCAACTTATTTAGCGACATATAATGCAGGTTCTGCAAAACTCTAATAAATCTGTTCCTTACCTCGAAATCTAATTATCCAGGTTACTAATTAGGTGAAAATGATTACTGGAAATGACTTCAACTGTGGCATAATAGTGGTTGGGGTAGTTTTTCACAAGTTTGTTGTTTGGCAAGTTGATATTTTAAATGCTAAATGCACTGACATTTTAGACTCGGTAGTTGAAAGTGATTAAAAAGCTAAGATAATTAAAATCTCTACCAGGGAAAGGCAACAGTCTGGGCTGAGGTAGATTTCTTGAATTGTTTCTTTGTTTCTCACCGAGGGGCTTTGTTATCAGCATTATTTATTTAGCCAAAAGAGTTCTTTGTCTCTGCAAATGGCCCCAATCAAGTTTTGTTTGAGACAATTAGCTAGTGCCAGCCAACGAGTCCTATGCAAATGTTGGGATAGGAATGCGTTGTGTGCGTTTGAAGGCGTGGGGTTTTGTTCTTGGGGGAAGGCAGATTGTAATTGCTTTCTTCGGGTCCTCTATTTTTTTTAAGTTTAGGGTGGGGGTGGGGAAAGACAGGTTTATCAGGTCTCACTCCGTCCTCCTCTAGTTCCAGAGCAGCTGGGGGGGTGGGAGGTGGGGGGGGGGGGGAGAATCTGCAAGTCCTTTAAAAGCCTGTGTGCCTCGCCCGGCCTCAGCTCTTTGCAGTTAGTGGTGGAACGTAGGAGAAGCTGCGGCCTCCGACACAGTGAACTAGCACCTCTTGTTTGTTTGCTTGCTTTGCTTTTAGTTCCTCCACGCCAAACCCACCCACCCACCAAGGAACCCTGAACCTGTCCATCACAGGCGAATCGAGACCTTCCGGCTGGGTTCCCCCCATTTGGGCCGACTTTGCGCCTCCAAACAACCTTAGCATGATGTCTTATCTTAAGCAACCGCCTTACGCAGTCAATGGGCTGAGTCTGACCACTTCGGGTATGGACTTGCTGCACCCCTCCGTGGGGTACCCCGGTAAGTGAGTCCTGCGGCACTCTTACCAGGCCCTTTCCCGCGCCGTTTCCCACCCCAGCTCCAAAGGAGGTCCCCACCGTCGGCTTTCACCGATCGGGGAGGGCCAGGGGCTGCCGGGATGTGAATCGATCCGGTCTGCAACTCTGGTAGAAAATCACATCGCTCGGTCTCTTCCTTAGTGTCCGGAGTGGAGAGGGGCGCGCGCGCACGGGGGTCGTAAGGAGGGTCATTGTCCTTGTCGCTCGGGCGTTGGGGGACCCTCGCTCATGCCTCCAAGCCCGGCTTTTCCAAAGTTTTTAGGGAAGCCAAGATTCACTCACAAGTTCTCTGCAGCTCTTCACGCCTCGCCCCGGGCTTCCCTGAACCCTCAGGCCCTTGTTCTTTTCGATCGGGTGGTATCTTTGCGCATTTTACCCCTCCTCCAAGTACCAACTATCTCCCCCCCGAGTGGCACACAGTGTGACATCAGGGTCCCCTTGCCCTCCTGGGTCCGGCTGAGCTGCCCTTCCCAGGAGGCCGTCCTGGGGCTTTTTTTGTTTGGGTTGTAGGTTGGGGGTGGTTTTGGGAAGACTGGGAGGGAGTTGTCACCCTGTTAAGTGTTGGGGTGGGTTGGAAGGCGGGAAGTCGAGGACCCCACACGGAAAGCCCTGTGACTGAGAAACTGCTCCCCCACCTTAAAGGGCCCTGGGCTTCTTGTCCCGCAGCCACACCCCGGAAACAGCGGCGGGAGAGGACCACGTTCACCCGCGCACAGCTCGATGTGCTGGAAGCGCTGTTTGCCAAGACCCGGTACCCAGACATCTTCATGCGGGAGGAAGTGGCCCTGAAAATCAACTTGCCCGAATCCAGAGTGCAGGTAGGTCAGACTTACAGCCCTCCTTGACTCTTCCCCTCAACCAGGATGCTAACTAGAACTCTGGAGGAACATCCTTCCCCCTCTGCACCCCCCCCTCCCCCGCCCCAGCTCGAAACTCTATAAACATCCCGGGAGCAGTAGCAGTACCAGTACCAGTAGCGATTCTCCTTTGCCACCTGATCCTCTTAGGGCAAGTGGTTCTTCCCGCCCAGGCTGCCAGGTAAGGGAGAGTGGCAATGTAGCTGCAGTGTTAGAGCGCCTGAACTCTTGGGTCGATAGCGTGCAGAGACACTGCCCTGGGCAGATTCCCGGAGTAACAACAGGGTAGTTTAACTCCTCCCTTCTATGTGGAGATTCCCCTCTTTTCTCCTGGACTTTCAGAGGTGAAATAAGCTTAGCTTTCTGGACAGCCCAAAGGTTTTCTTTTTGTTTTTTTTGTTTTTGTTTTTAATATAAGATAAATAAATAGAACAAATGCTTGCTGAAGGTCATGCCTGATGGGGTGGCAGAACCAAGCTGTAGAAACAACTGGTGCTAGTTCCCAAGTGAGTAAAACGTCATGAGAATGTGTTTCTTAGACATCTTAGGGATTGGGTAGAAATTTCTAGCTCAGCACTATTTATTTGATAGATTAAATATCTTCCCTTACTTTAGTTAAATCCTAAACTTGACCCTAAAGTACAGTAAGTCAGTGATCCTAGAGGGCAAGCCGTGTGTGTGTGTGTGTGTGTGTGTGTGTGTGTATACATGTGCATCTGTGCATGCATGGTGTGTGTGTGTGTGTGTGTGTGTGTGTGTGTGTGTGTGTGTGTGTGTGTGTGGACAGAGGGAGAGAGTTCTGGAAAAAATGTTTCGCATCTAAACTGTCCTTTAGGTAGGACATGTTTTGAAACGGTGTGAACTGCAAAGCAGAGAACAAGTTTGTTGGTTGAAGTGGATTTGGGAGAAGTTCTAGCATTTTCTGAGGCTTGAATCAAAGTCCTCATTGGAAGACATCAAGTGACTGAATGATTGGTAGCATTGAGTTTGTTGGCCTGGGGGACATGACTTTTGCCAGCTTCCACAACCATATGGAGAGCTCATTCAAGAGCACAATTAAGGACTTGAAGCCCAGAAAAGTACCAGTAAGTTTCTCTGATAATCCCCAGAATATGGCAAACACAGCTTCTTCATGGCAGACCATGAAAAGGGCTAGTGCAAAGAAATTTCCAAGTTGTAGCAGAGGTTGAAATGGACAAATCAGTGAGCATGATGCAGGAGACAGGATCTGTGGGCTGAGTTGCAACACTCTTCAGATACAGACGGAAGCTATTGAAGACTGATAGAGAGGTCTGTCTTGGCCTTAAAACAGACCACAGAAGTCACTCCATTCTACAGGAAGAAGCTTTCCATCAACAGTAGCTTTGAGATGTCATGTCTTCCCTTAGGGCTCTCTTGTGAGTCTTTGTATGTGAGACAAAATGTAAGGTAATGGAGCCAACCTCCATACTAGCAGTTAGTTATTCCTTGGAAGATGGATAAGAACTGTTGGATTTTAGGTTGTCTTGTTGACTTGCAAGAACACAAGAACAGAATCGTTTTCCTTTCTTCTCTTGTGTTTCCTTCTCAAAAAAAAAAAAAAAAATCTATGTTCTGTTTCAATCTGAGAGCATCCCAAAATACAGCCCTCTCTATGTACCTGTGTGTAATAGACAAGACAGGACAGTGAAGTGAATTTTTAGCCATATGATTTGGGGGATTATCTTAAATGTTACTGTTCTGGGCTAGATAAAAGGTATGATGAAAGGCTTATAGACAGAACCTCCTCACTTTCACAACTCCAGAAGCATATGTGAGTGTGTCTCATAGCAGATCTCCAGGAGGAGGAGAGGTTGTTGAGCTCATCTGTCCATGTTAAAAAAAAATAAATACTTTTCCCTTTCAAGGTATGGTTTAAGAATCGAAGAGCTAAGTGTCGTCAACAACAGCAGCAACAACAGAATGGAGGTCAAAATAAAGTGAGGCCTGCCAAGAAGAAGACATCTCCAGCTCGGGAAGTGAGTTCAGAGAGTGGAACAAGTGGCCAGTTCACTCCCCCCTCTAGCACCTCAGTCCCCACCATTGCCAGCAGCAGTGCTCCTGTGTCTATCTGGAGCCCAGCTTCCATCTCCCCACTGTCAGACCCCTTATCCACCTCCTCTTCCTGCATGCAGAGGTCCTATCCCATGACCTATACTCAGGCTTCAGGTTATAGTCAAGGATATGCTGGCTCAACTTCCTACTTTGGGGGCATGGACTGTGGATCTTATTTGACCCCTATGCATCACCAGCTTCCTGGACCAGGGGCCACACTCAGTCCTATGGGTACCAATGCAGTTACCAGCCATCTCAATCAGTCCCCAGCTTCTCTTCCCACCCAGGGATATGGAGCTTCAAGCTTGGGTTTTAACTCCACCACTGATTGCTTGGATTATAAAGACCAAACTGCCTCCTGGAAGCTTAACTTCAATGCTGACTGCTTGGATTATAAAGATCAGACATCCTCGTGGAAATTCCAGGTTTTGTGAAGACCTGTAGAACCTCTTTTTTGTGGGTGATTTTTAAATATGCTGGGCTGGACATTTCCAGTTTTAGCCAGGCATTGGTTAAAAGAATTAGATGGGATGATGCTCAGAATCCTGATCAAAGTTCCAAGAGGCATAGAAGGAAAATTGAAGGGCCTTAGAGGGGCTTACCAACCAGCAACTGAAATGGACAAACCAATCTACTTAAGATCCTGTCATAGTTTTAGATCATTGGTTTTCCTGATTTCCAAAGTGATCAATCAAACATTCTAGCCATGTGCAACCCAACACTACATTAAAAAAAAAAAAAAATCAAACAAAACTAAGTTGTGAGGGAAGGGCGGGAAGGCCAGAGCCTTCAGAAGCAGAGGTGATCTAATGTTTTAGCCAATCCTTGGTTGATTCTTAGGAATGAACAGTGTCTCAAGCTCATTCACGTTTCATGACCAACTGGTAGTTGGCACTGAAAAACTTTTCAGGGCTGTGTGAATTGTGCGACTGATTGTCCTAGATGCACTACTTTATTTAAAAAAAAATAATGTTCATAAGGAGTCAATATGTAGTTTAAGAGACAATCAGTGTGTGTCTTATATAAATGGTACATCTGTGGTTTTTAATCTGTGCTAGACTTCAAAACTGTGATCTCCTGTTATTGTATGCAACCTTGAACTCCACCTCTGCAGGAGTTCTTCTGTGATTAAATAGGTTATAATTATAAGCAAAATTCAGAGCAACTGAATACCGATTTAAAAAGATTACCTTTGGCTGGAGGTGAGCTACACTGAAACTTTACGACAAAATGTCTCTGGACAAGGAGAGAGAGAGAGAGAGACAGAGAGAGAGAAAGAGAGAGAAGAGCAACAGAAGGACACTAATTCATCTGTAATTTACTGTTGGTAAGCCTAGCAGTAAAGAGACATTGGTCAATTGCTCTGACCCTGATGAATTTTTAAACTGAGATCATTGTCATTTATGTTTGCAGATGTTAACTGGAAAAGATATATGCATAAACCTTTTTTCTCCTTGGATTTGGCAGATATGTATAATTATATTAAAATGGTTCTAGCACAAGATTGGGTCTAGTTTAATTTTACACCATAATTTATGAATGAAAAGCCTCTTCAGCCTTACATCCCCAAAATGTTTATAGAGCAGTTTTTTTCAGTTTTCTTTTCCTTTTCTATTTTTTTCTTTTTTTGGCTAATCTATGGATAGCCTGGAATGAGTGACAGTGGTTTGTAAACTTTTTATAAGTTCTATCAGGACAGCTCTGAAACTGAATTTAGCATGCCAACCTTCAATCATTAAGAGTCTTAACTCTCCTTGGCTTTTCCTTTCCTGCTGCAAACCTGAATTATTTCTTAGGCACTTTATTAGTAAGCTTTTAAATAGATTCACTCTTTTTAAGAGGGAAGAAAAGAACTGGTGCATCTTTCAGAATGGCATAAAATTTTGGTTTGGGTTCTAATTTGACTAAGATTTTTAACTTCCAAAAACATCGGAGATAAATGTAGAGTGGGGGTTGTAATCAGAATCAGAAAGCAATTCAGGCAGAAATGATTTCTGAACAAAAGAGTTTCAGAAAACTTTTAAAACCTATCATTTTAGTAGTTGAACATAAGGCACCCTGGTCAGGTTTTTTTTTTTTTTTTGGTTGTTTTTGAAAGTGCTGAGGGGAGAAAACAGGAGGGGGGGGTGACATGACCCTTTTCACTTTTCCTTGCATTTTCTGAACTAGTCACCTGAAAGATAAATGGGCAGATGATCAGTGCTCCTCAGGTAAAAGCAGTATATAATTTCATTTTAAACTTGTTGTGTTCTTAAATTTGACCAAAATTAAGTGACTCTTGATTGTAACTTTTTAAATGAAGGTTAGCAGTTGCAACGATTTTGTTTTCTGGCTATTTTATTTTCCATCCCTGACTGTGTATACTCTTTTCAAACTCCAACTAATCTTGCCTCATAAGTGAACCTTTATTGCTAAAGGAAATGCCAAAGCTTACAACCAAGATTTAAAAAAAAAAAAAAGGCTGGCAAGATTTTCCAACCCCCTGGTAATATTCATCCCGTTGTAATTTAACTGGAGTGAGATTGGTGCTGGAAAGTCTAGGTTTCCCCAAATTTAATCTTAATCTCCGAGGGTTTTTTCTTTCTTTCTTGTATCTAAATAACCAATTTCTCCCGGGCTTTCAGTTTTTACAAAGGGTGGGGGAAAGAGAACCCATTAACCAAAAAAAAAAAATTGATCCACATGGGACTACCAGGCAAATAACGCCATGCAGTGCGTTTTCTCCTGAAACTTCAAGCATAGGAGGCCTTAGAGCCTCCTTTTCTCCATCACTGCTATACCCAACTTCGCTCCACTGAGAGAGACCGCGAGGTGAAATCCCTTTGAATGGACTGCGAAAGTAGTAGCGAATTTCCCCCTAACCAAAGCCTCGGAGGGAGGGGAAGGAGGCGGGGAGCCATCCCCGGCTTACAGACCAGAGTTGGGATCGCTGCAAATCAAGACCGGATTTTATGAAGTTAATAAGGCCAGCCCCGGAGCTGCGCGGTCCCCAAATCGCGCCGTCCTTTAGAGGGGTCGGGAGGGTCGGGCCGAGAGGGTGGGGGCCGTGGGCTTTAAAGAGAGATCTGTGGCCCCGAATCTTTGCTTTTCCCACCGAGATTCCAGGCCCTCCGGATTGCACCTTGGGAGTGTTTTCTTCCTCTCCTAGATAAGGCGAAATTCAATCAAGCCATTACATTCCGGCTTTCAGCTGCGGAAACCTCCGGGTTTTAGATAATGGTCAGTTTCCTCACCGCCGCACCTTGGCTGTGGGAGTCTCACCCCCAGCCCCCGCACCCCCTCGCCAGGCCGCAGGGGGGCGGGGCGGGGCTTGGAGCCAGCCCGGGGCGCGCGATGGGTGGGGGCGGCCCCACGGAGGGCGGCCCGGCCCACGGGGTTCCCTCCAAGCCTTAGATGGTCACCTGGAGCTCCCTGGGCAGAGCCGGGGCTGCCTCTGCCGCGGGGGTCCCGGGGCTCCAGTCGCCTCTGCGGGCCGGGCCGGGCGGGGGCTAGAGGCTGCAATCTGGGTTCCTCTCTCAGTCCCCACGGGGACCTGGCAGGGCCACGGGCCAGCCTTGCTCCTCGCCCGCCCTTTTGGCTCTGACCTCCAGGTCTGGGAGACGAACCTGCAGCCACCAGCACAGACGCCCTGGGCGCTGAAGGCCCGAGGCCGCCCTGGCTGGGGCGTGGGGGGCGGGGCTCAGGCCACCCACCGTAGGTAGCCCCTCGATCTGGCGGGGATCAGGGGGTCGAGCCTCCGGGCAGCGGGGCCCAGGCGGGGGTGGGGGGGATCACCCAAGGACAGGTTGGCACGTTGAGACCACCCGACCAGGGCGGCCTCCGCGAGCCTGTCAGGGCCCGCGGTCCAGAGCTTTCCGGACCACCCCCACTGCGGGGCCTCCCGGCCTCCCGCGTCCAGGGCAGCTGAGGCCCACTTGGGCCTGTCCCCGGGGACCCTCGCAGGAAAGCCAGGTGCTCAGGCTAGTGAATGGGGGGGGGAGGGGGGAAGGAGGGTAGAGGGGAGGGTTGGACCTGTGCTGGGAGCCCCGCTCCCGAGCTGGAAACCTTGGGAAATGGTTACCCTTCTCCTTATTGGTCTCACTCCCGGGGGGAGGGAGGGGGGGTCTCTGGTTTTCTTTGATTGACCATGACCCACAGAAGATTCTGGAATAGAGAAATGGTCCCCTTGTTGTCCCGGGCAGCATCGAGTTTCCAGGTAGTCCATTCCAGCTACCTGCAGTGAGAGGCTGGGTGCAAGTGTCTGCCTCCACTGAACCCGCAGCCGCCAGCCCGGGCGCAGCCGCCAGCCCCGGCGCGCGCGCGCTCCACGTGTTCCAGCCTGCACCTCACGCCCCGTGAGGACCTCGCTGCTGGGGACCCCGACAAAGCTGTACCCAGAACCTGGCGAACCAGCGTTCAGTGATGGTTGATTGCCTACGACGAGGCGCTTTAAAGCACACAAAAAAGAAACGCAAAGAAGCAGGAGAGCCGCGAAGCCAGTGTCGTCGTAGAAAACAATCAGAATGGGAAGATTTGTAGTGTTGGATTCAGCCAGAACCTCCACCTAGATTTTTGTCTTCCTTGGAAACCTTTAGCAAGGACAGCTATCTCTCTGACCCTCTGGGGCCATTAAAGGGCTCAAGTTCCCATCATGCATCTGTATGTTCTGTTGGGCTACTGGTGGTCTCAGCACCTCTTGTTTTTCTCTCCTGATCCTTCTCAGCGTAGGTTGAAGCTCAGGTTGCTCTGGAAAGCCTGATTCTCCCAGATGCCCCATTCCTGCCCTTAGGTTAGTGGGATACAAAAGATCTAAGCCTCTAGGACTTCTGGACTGGGGAGGACAAAGCCCCCTACAAACCCATCCCGATGTTTTTCTGTGTTCAGCTTTGCAACTGCACAGATTATAGGATTTGTCTCGGACAGAATTAACATTACACGTGAAACTGTAGTGTACTAGTGTACTAAGACACATTGTTTGGGATTGCTTGGAGCATCTCTTACAAACTGCCTCTTAATAACATGCTACTCGGACTAATATTCTTTAAAATTATTATTTTTCACTTGAATGAAAGGAAATCTAGGTGCTATTTGGAAAAGGTAGTGTTTTCCCCGCCCCCTACCCCCAACGGGAGCAGTTTGAAGGAAATAAAACAGTCAGGAAGGAACCCGCGGAAGCTCCTGCATGCAAAAATGACTGAAAGGAGGAGGAAACAGGTATGCATTTGAAAGAAAGGCTCTCCACGGTGCCACAGTCCTTACAACCCAAGGAGGCCACCAACACTAAAGACAATCAGGCAGCTCTCCTCTCCTGCAAGCAGTGTTTTTTTTTTTTATTTAAAAACTACCCTGCTATTGACTGTAAACAAACAATAAGTAAATTCAAATAAAGAAGCCTTACCAAGTCCAGCCTATTTGGTCATAGGTAACTAACAGTAGGTTTGCAGCCAGGGCTGGTAGCATAATCACCAGATGAAGGTGGTGTCAAATTTTATTTTCCTCCTAGAGGGAAAGTCAACCAGCTGACTGTCTATGACTCACTTTTACTCCACCATCTCCCTTTACCATCAATTCTTAGTAGAAAGATGGTATTTTGCAGAAAAAGGACAAACAAGAAAAATAAGAAAGAATCCTGCAGCAACTATAATGGTAGGTGTTTCAGCACCACAAGGCAAAAAAAAAAAGGGTGTTTATGAATAAGATGGAATTCTCTGCTCCAGCCCTAATTTGCCTACCGCAGGGTGGGGAAAGGTGCCTTTCTATTAAAGATTTCTTGGTCTACTTGACATCACTAAGGAGCCATTTCTAGTTCAGGCCTTCTTTAAAAATAAGATGACAGTTTCTAGCAGCCAAAGCATTACTGAGGACCTTACAGATTGTGTAAGGACCTTACAGATTGCTTTTTTGTTTTCCTTGAAATGCTCATGAAGGAACTAGCTACTAGAGCAGGAGCTACTATGCCTTAACAGGCCAGCCCTTCCTTACTTTCCA